GTCGAAAATCCACGCTCTGCACCGAGGGTTGAGCCTCGTGATTCTCTCCACCGAACACTTGTTGCTTTTGCGGTATAGCTTTGTAACAAATGGAGCAAACTTGCACCATTCCCTGAGGACTTATGGGACTAGCTCCTTGTGGAGGTCTCAGAGAATATATAAAAGGATAGTACGCCTCCTTCTCTGGATTAGGACAGCAATAAAGAAGTCTAATACTGGACGAAGGGTACTCGAGCGCGCAAGTGTAACAGATGAAGGTAGTGGTGTCCATCGCAGGTGCTTGTCGTTTACGCAGCGTGTAGTTTCGATCACCGTGAGGTACACCCTGCCGAGTGTATGCCTTCCATTGTACCAGAAGGTAATTCTGACAAGCCGAACAAGCCTGAAACCAAAACACAGACGGGATTTTCGATACAAAAATCAAACGACGTGGTCCACGGTATCATAGTCTATTTACACAGGACAACAAATTAACGGAAAAAGGATATACCTGTACACGACCAGCACTGTCCATAGGTCGACTTCTACTTGGCCTTGGATGAAGCATCAGCGAAGGAAAAAATGGCGGAGGACTGGCAGAAGGATGTGGCGGAGTTGGCAGTGGTTTTGCTGCAATATGACTAAGTGACCCTCTTTTGAATTCATCCCCACATACGTAACAGACTTCCGTAACTGAATTTTTATCCGGCATCGAAAGGTCTAAGATGTCAGTGCCGACACTCGACGAGGATCCACCGCTGTAAATGGCTGTAACCGTACGACGAAACGATTACAAAGTCCTGAATAAGCAAATACGAACAACTTGCATCGAAAACGCGGCGATGTTGACCCAGTCACGGCTTACACCCTTGCAGAAGGATTAAGAAATTCAAATTATTTAAAGAGCACAGAAAAAAAAAAAACAGCCTTATCTGGGTTAACCGATCGCTTTCATTTTGTTTCAAGCATTTTACACGGCTCAAAGAAACTATTATCATATTGCACGTAGCCTACTTGGACTCCGTATTTTTCACGACTTTATCGCTACGCTTTAAATATGGAACGACGGCAATTTTGTAATTTGCGATTTCTACTGTCTCAATAGTTCGATTTCGAGCGACCTACTTATCAGCGTGACAACCCGACTAATGAGAATCAAATCAGTTGAATTAGATCTTCAGAGGTCGAACAAGTTACACATGCAATGAAGGTTGAGATCAGAATTTAAATTAGATGTATATTTAACGCTTTATCTACGAGACTATTAACCTTTATTTACAAACATATACTCCACTGAACTGGCCAACTGTACTTGCTGTAAATATTGCACACATTCGTTTGTTTGGTGTACAAATACATCGAAACGCGATACTTGCGAAAAAAGTCTTAGCTTCATATTTATCAAACATCTCAATGGACAGTTCTTTATCAATTTTATCAAGAACGGTGCAATTACGTAATATTTATCACACAAAAATATCAACCAACTAAGGTCAATCGAAAAAGTATAAATACTCGTGCGATACCCTATATGCAACAATGTACGTATAGGATGAATTTTCGAAGTCGTAAGCGTCAACTTACGTTGAGGTTGAGGCAGTAAAGTTGGTTGAGGTGCAGGTGAACTTCTAGGTGCGTGTCTTAAATCTAATGCAGCTTCATTAGATACTCTCGAATCTTCTACAGGCTGCCGTGGACTTTGTAACCTTTGATGCGGCGATTGCAGTCTTTGATGGGGAGATTCCATTGTAAGCCTTGCTTGTTCTAAGTGTCTGTGCGTTTCTGCAGTGTTAGAATGTGGTCTTGGCAATTCAATGGAATTCGACGGGGGTCTTGTTTGCTCCACTCTCGGCGACGGTGAATTCGGTGGAAGTCGCGGAGAAATTCCCACCGGTCGATTTTCTGGTCTAAGCTGTGGCGTCTGCTCGTTCGTTAAGCCAAGAACTTGAGCCGCGTATTCACCCTGCAGAGCCATCTCAGCCCCTGTAAAAGGTCCACCATCGCATCTTTTTAGCCAATAAATTCGTTGACTATGAGGTCTGGCATCCTGCTCATAACTCTCCCACTGCTGTAAGAGCAATGCATAGCAAAGACTGCATGCCTTGATTGCTCCGCTCCTGGCTCCTTCTCCACGATAACCAGCAGGTGGTTCATGGGATTCAAGAAATGGGAAATATGGTTCATTTGGTGCTCCACCAGGACTTGGTTTTACTTTTAGCCAGTACTGTTCCCCGTGACCCACTGTACCACAAACAAAACAAACCCTAGCACCTCCATTATCCTCGGAGGGTGGATTTGGTTGTGGATTTGTAAGCGATTGCCCGTCAAGTCCCGGCTCATTTTTCACGTATAGTTTACTTTCCATCATGTCAGGAAACCATTGGGTCTCTTTAACGCCCTTTTATATATCTTTGTTTGGCACGCATATACGATCACAAGTTAGAACGATTGACAAAGTTTTTGAATTTTGCACATTTCTGAAAAAAATAAAAATGTTTACATTAGTTACAAATATTTCACTTATTTGATATTATATATACACAATGAAAGTGCTAAATATGACAGTGTTAAATAAATTTAAATTGGTAAGAGTATGATCCGAGATAGAAATACAAAATGTAAAAGGACAGAAGGAATATTATTTAGAAGCATTTAGGATGTCTTATTGTATGCAAATGAGTCTATTTAGGTGGAGCTGTGACCTCATTCTTTATTTCATAGAGACAAAAGTGACGATTGTTTAATTTGTCCAAACAGATTTGTCTTTTAATTGCATAACACTTGAGAGTAACTTGTCAAAGCAACAAACATTTAAATAAATCATATGGTATTTTGTCCATTTACTTGTAGTCCATTGGGATTTGTATATACGGAATTTTATTTTTACTACACTCGTATTATTTTTCAACCAATGTTTACTACATGTAAACAGAAAAACATGGACATAGAATATACCGAGTAAAAACTTTTATAAAATATACCACTCGTTTTATTTAACATTGGATCTAATTGGTGGACTAAAACGTCACTATTATCTCTTGAAAAATGTTTGTTTCAAATAATAATCACAACGCATTGTTATTCGTCTCAAACTCTTATCGTTATTGAAGCATTGCAACGTGCGATGCTTTTAGAATACCGTAACATGTGGTATTTTTGGAGCATTGCTACATCGACGTTTACCGACACCGACCATAAAATATTTTTTCGGACATCGGTAATGTGAGAAAAAATGATCGAAAGATCTCTTCGTTTGGCCGATATTCATGATAATTTCGTATCGAATACGATTTGATCACAGCTTAGCTGGAAACACGAGCAAACCACGAAGGTAAGCAGTTTTACTTCAATCGATCGAAATATGCATTTTTCGGAGAACGTGAACACTGTTAACCGTATGAATGAGAAAACAGTGGAAACGTTGAGAAACGTCGAACTTTTCTCAACGAAAATCAAGAAAACGTGACTTGGTCGAGAATATTTGATGCAATGGTGGCACATTCGCTAGGACCGATTGGTACAATGAGATTTTCACGTTTCGTAGCAAGTTCGATGGGATCATCGTCGATTGAAATGCTTCACGATAAGTTTAAGTAAATTTTGACGACAAAACCAATGGGGATAAATGTAAGAAAGGAATTCGCAGAGATCGCGAAGGCAGCCACTCTTTTCGCTACCGAAATACGCACCCCACGGCACTTTCGTACAGACACATTACGTTTTACACGAAACACTCACGTTTTCACAGTTCAGGAGGAGTAACCACCGCATCGCTACTTTGTGGTGGTAATTTTAGTCGAGTGTACGTAATACTTGGGCGAAGCAGAGCTCCCTTATCTCGAATTCTAGTCTCTGCCATACGTACTCGAACACCACACCGAGTTGCGGGGTGTCACCTTCGTAATAATGTTGCACCTCGACACACTCATATTTACATGTATCGTGCACCGTCTGACGCGTCCCGAATCCGTATCACACTGTCGCATGCACGAAAAGTATAAGAAAAGAGGTCGCGCGACTATGAAAAATACATTTTCTGATGGCACAGCACCGCGACTTTGGCTCAATTCACCGCCATGTTGCAAAATCGCGATCTGCTTCCCATGATGCCACGCAGCTTCGTCATATGACAGTGCCGTCGTGTCGACCAATCAAATTTGAAAACGCATGCGCCTTCTCTAGGACTTGCAACCGAACTGCCGCTAAGAATATTCTGGCGCGAGATTTGAAATTTTTTCCAAGTGTCCGTCGATACCCCATGGTTTTTTCTATTTTTCCAAGCTGCGAGGTATATCTTTCATTTACGTTGCTCCCATGGTGGTTTATCGCCATTATCACGCGTTTCTTTGAAGACTTTGTTTGTCCTGCTTCTCGATTATTTTAGTCGCTCGAACGAGCTATTTTAAACTTTAATTACTTCTTTTTGTAGCTCAGCTAATTTCCTTACTACTAAAGAATTTGATAAAGTTGGACTACGTATTTAGTAATCGATCAATTCATACTTACACTTTTTCGGAGTACTTAGTTGGGACAGGTCTGCAATGTGTCTTCCAGCAAGTTGCGGGATTAACAAGTCTAACAGCTTTTTCTACTAACCGTCAGGTCAGATCTGTTACTGTTTTATTTATAAGCGATCAAACGTTTTGCTGTCGTTAAACTGACAAACAGAATTGCGAAAGATTGATTTAAGTCTGTACTTGGAAGAATGTGCATCGACTCGACTGTTTATTACGTTTAAACGATCTGTAAAAAGTTTGACAAAAATAATCGTTAAGAAAGGTCATAACAAGTATTTTATATAAACAGTATCATTAAAATGGTTGTGGGATATTTATAAATACTTTCGCGCCATTTGTACATTCATTTCCCGAGAATGATATTTACCTTGACTTTTTTTAAAATTAAAGGTTTATCACGCTAAACTAAGATTGAAAAAAAATAATTGGAAATACTTTAAAAATACTCTTTGCAAATGATAATTCTTAGAAATTCATTCTCTCCGATATCTTTCGTCTCTACTCATACAGATCTAACGGCTACAATGACTTCAAATTTCTTCGTGTACGTTTTTATACAGACGGTCAACCGTGAAAATTGTTATTTTTATTATAACAGCGTTATTGTTGCTGTTGTTATTATTAACTTTACATATAACGAATAAACGCATAGCGATGGTACAAATGTTTGTAATCCGCAAGATCGCAGACCATTAAAATTTACGGAACACTGCTTTTGGAACAGAGATGACAGAATTTAACAGTCCATCGATGAATACCAGTTAAAAAAGAATTTCGAGGAAAATTCTTGTTTTTCACAACGCGGAAGTAGCCTGACGTGTATTGCACCAACGATAACTTCAACATTATTACGAATAATATCATAACGTTCGATTTAACACTGTTGTACATACTTGTCACTGCATTTACGACTACGGAATCACTGAAATCGATATTTGATTCGTAGAAGCAGCGTAATCACGATTTTCTTAACCGATAAGATATAAAAATACTAAAGGAAACTAAAAAGATGTAGAGTAATAGATGTAAAGCGCTGAACGTGTCAGGAAAAAGAAGATCACGCTAAACTGACTTTAACGAGACTCGACGGTAATAATTGTCATTAAACGTAGTAGCACGTAAAAACGCTATTATCCTTTTTCTTATAAATAATTATAAACTAGGTCTGCTTTGCATTGATGAATGACTACAACGATTTCCTTGTTTTCGCATTCTCCCTTTCCACACGCATGCACGTTCATAAAATGCTACATACACAGGTGTTTGAACTAACTTGACGCTCACTTTCGGCGATGGTAACGATAAAAGCGTTCTCGACGATCGAGGAATTGAAAGAAGGATGATACGTCACGCGAGGAACAAAATAAATAATACGCAAAAGTTTCCACGTTTCATTGAACGCTCAAAATCCGTGCATTCTCTTCTTTTGATTAGAAAACCAGGTCTTCTCTCATCCTATCTTTCAAACGAAATATCGCTAACTCGTAACACGGTAAATTATCTTTTTATACGCGACAATCAACGTGTGTTTCTTTTATTATGACTTACTTACAAGATGGCATACGCGCTGAGCTGGTTAAATCAGATTTGACATTTGGTGAACTCATGACTTTTTACTCGCTCGACCCCACCGCGGGTTATCTCGTTTCTTATGTACATATAAACAGATATTACTGTAACAAGGATTCCTTCTCGTATAGGACGTTTCAAAGAAAAAAGAATTAATACGTAACGCGTTAATTAACCATCGCGATCGTTAACGATCCTAGCGAATTGAGAGTTTCCTATTATCAAGCAATTACCTAAACATCTCAACGACGATAAACAAAACGACTCGCGATAAACGAACGATTTACAATGTAGAAGACAGATCGTTCAAGTTCAAGATTTGCGTACGCATTAAATGAAACGTCCTTTACGAGGAATGCCGTCATAGCAGCCGTTTTGTAAACGATACTGCATATGCGTAATGAATAACGCATATTATATTAAAAAATATGAGGGGTCACCGGTTTTGATAAAACTCTTCACCCGAGTGCCCCGAGACCGTTGTTTAAATGAAAATTGATACATAAGAGAAGAAGAAGTAGATTGAAAAAAAAGCGTACAACCTATCTAAGAGGAACAAAAATAACGAAAGAAGTATTACAAACAACAATTCAATAAAAATAGAACTTATTGGTCCGATTGTCGATAAGAATAAAAAGTCTGTACATGACGCATCGAATTTTGCATTGATTTAAATTATATACTACTCTTTCTCTTCTTGTCGAAATAACGGCAGCACTGCACGTCGGAGATCATATGCTACTAATAGCATATTTCGGTCGCTCGATTAAGATAGTGATCGTTGTCATTACAATTAAGAAGTAACATTATTAGAAATATCGTAGATCTAGATTTAAAGGATCGTATAACGAACTACTGTTTGTTTCCTCAAGAAGAAACTTCATAGCTTTTTGAAAATGACTTTTGGACGCGATTAAATTAACAATTGATCTTCTACGCGAATGACGACGGTCTAGCCCTTCGTGCCCACTGTATCGATACGCGACAGCTTCAGAAAATTTATGCTTTTATTATGACATTGTGTCCTTTACTTTTATGGATTATTTGTTAGGGTTGGTACACTACCTGCAATCGTGCGCAGTGTGAAACATATAAGAAATAATATTTGCTGAGTTCAGGCACGAAGGGGTTCGTAAACGATACGAAATGACTCTTTCCTGGGTTAGAAAAAAAAAAAAGAAGAAGAAGGAGAACTAGAAATTGACATGAAAATATAAAAATAAAATTCACAGCGTCTCGGAAGTAGCGCTTGGGACACCTCGAATATTTGAGTATTCCAATCTTGTTTAGCATAAACTTAAAGAAAATGATTTATAGTCGTAAACCACACTATGTAAATACTACGAATATACAGATAGTTGACCAGTTTATCGAATATTCAAATAGTATTTAAATAGTCAAATATTTATATAATATTTGAACAGTTAAATGTTAACAGTTATTCATGTAAGATTTGGATGAACAAATATTGATACAATATTCAAAAAGTATTCGATCAGTTTAACGTTCAAATAATATTGGAATACAGAAATATTCGAGTAGTCTCATCTCTACTCGAGAGGAGTGACCCGACGATCGTTCCTACACTCGAGATCTCAATGCATCTTCTCCATTCGACAAGTAAAGATTCTGTAAAACCTTTGAAACACGCTGAACCTTCGCATACGACGATCTCAAATGTCGCTAACGTTTACTGGGGTCTCGGTCCTCAAAGTCCTCTTCGGAATCTCGTCGGTGGACGTCTCGCCAAAGACGGGTCCGATGGTCTCCGAGACCGACTTGGAATTGTGCTTATCGATGTGCGTCAGCTCGATAGGCAGATATATCGTTCGACAATGGTCTATGTCCGCTCTACAAAGTGGACAACGCTCGCAGCGTCTGGCGCAATCCAAGCAGGCCACGGCATGTCCACACGGAAACAACGCTGTGTCCAGGCTGCGATCCATGCAAATGCGACAGAGCATGGCGTCCAATAATCTTGCCAGGCATTCCCGAGATTCCTGCAAACGTACCAAACAATTACTTGCCTTGCACGCTGCTGTTTGCTTTTGATGTCACACAACAGCCAACAACGTCTACATGGCATTCTATCAAAGTGTCACCAAACGTGATAAGTCCTTTTTTTTTATCGTCAACAAAAGAATTAAACGAATGGAAACTTGTATGGCGGTGCGATATGGAGTCATATTGAGACATATTGAAAGAATTCACTAGCGACTTGTCGGAAATACCTTGCACTTCGGATCCACGCAATCCCCAGCGCAGCCATGCGTCTCCAAGATTTCCTTCTCCTCTGGTAATCTGACGGTCGCCGCCTCGCAGTACAAAGCGCGTCGCGCATTGTCGTACACCTCCCTGCACGTTCTGCGAATGTCGAACACATATTTCTTCCCCAGCGTCGAATCCTCGTTAAAAATCGAGATTATAGTACCCTGAGGATCAAGAACAATTCAGATAATTCATCGTTTCGTTGTTTCTCCCGGGAGAGCAACATCGTTATGATTAGAGTTCGGCGATTGATTCTGCAATTTTTGTGTCGCCTATATGTATATATAAATTGTATCCAATAAAAAAAGTTCGAACTACTATTTGAAAGTATCTCTAATAACCAAGTATTTAATTATTATCGTACAAGTAACGCCTTCAACGACGTTCATCTTATACTCGTCGTTCAGAATCTACATCCAGATAAGAACGGTGCCCATCTCTGATCTCAACCCCGGTCACGACGTGCCATAATCGAGTAGATACCTTCAGATCCCGGATAAATTGAGCGGTGACCGCGCTCCTGACCGTCTCGCAACTATAAAATGCGTGCTTCTCGGTGATCGCTCGGTAAAGTCCGCTGGCTGATTGACTCGAATCCAATTTAAAGTTCAACGAAGTTTCCTCGCCGTCCAGAGACAGGTACACCAAATGAAACATTCGACGCTGAGACGTCGCGCTTTGTATCGCTGTGTACGGTATGCTGCAAAAAGCGACAAAGCATACAAATAACATTAATTTTCTTACATACCAGCTAGAAGTTCGTTTAATTACATCCTACTGAGGGATGACTTCAAAAGGGGTTTCGATTGATACGAGAGATCATTCAATCGTTAGAGGGAACATCCTGTATTTTACTGGCGCTGTCGGTGCGATGAACGTTTCAATAAAGCGTAAAATTGAAGAAATTTCTCTGCGACAACGGTATATTCCGTTTGAAAATCTCTACCGAGGCGCGAACGTCCAGAGACTACTTTAAATGAAATATTATTCGCTTATCGCCTTCTGTTTCATAAGGAGACGGTGTAAGGTTCCCCGGAGAATTGAAGATTTGCAAGACTCGAGCCTCGATAAATTGTGTCTCTCCGCTATGGATCGATAGTTGGTAAATTCCTGACGCTTTTCGTCTTTCTTCGGGGTGAAGATTCATACTGATATCAATCTCTGATCGATAAGTAACTGTTCTCAACACGATGGCAAGTGTAGGTGATCGTCTAGACAGTGTACTTTCAAGTATAATGGTTCCCTCAGGGGCTGTAGCTACGTTTGATTGTAGTTACAGTACGTGCTTAGCAATCCCGAGGTACTCGAGCTATAGGAGGACCAGTGGTCTGACAGTGGGGGATCAGTAAGACTTACAAAGAAAACTCATTCGCTATTCATCTTCTATTCGTTACTCAAAATTTTAGTCTAGATAAGAATTACGCCCATCTCCGAGCATCCCTCATACGTACTTTTGCGTTTCCTCGTCCTGGGTGTGATAAACCGTGATCCCGTGAGGCCCAACTCCTATCACGGATACTCCGTTGTATCCGAATTTACTGTGGAACATTTCCTGACCGAATGTGTCCAAATTGGATATTTCTTTCAGCAGCCAATACTCGGCGGTCGAAGTTTTCATGCCCTATACAGAAGATGAACAGTTATTGCACCGTTGCGACGGTTATTTTAAAACTGTCGAGAGAAAGATGGGAAATTTTTAGTTCTTTTTTAATAAATATTTTTCTCAATTTTAAACGTCACTCAAGCAGTAGCGCGCAACACGTTGCGAGATCATACAAAATTTGTATCAAATTCTCATTGTTTCTAAATACAATTCCAAGTTGATATCACTAAAAATTTCATCTTTTCTCTCGGAGATTCTTCATTCGTCCACCAAGGAATGAACCAGCAACGTACCTTAATTTCCTTGTGTTGCTGGACTATCCGGTGCAGAAAGTCTGGAGGTTTCGGCTCGTACGGTTCCGTCGGCTGTATCTGACAGCACTGGGAATAAAGGGCGTGGGGTGGCGACATGACATCGTAATCGCCGCCATCGGCTTGAGCTATTAAGGCGACCAGACGCGCCACGGATCCCCAGTCCGAAACCTTCAGTCTACCCTCGACCAGCTCCAAACGAGAGTGCAAGTAGAATTGATGCCTGTGACCGAGAAAAAATCATTACAAATCGCGTCTACGCTTAACGTAACTTCACACATTAGTTTCATATCTAAATTAAATGTCATTCTACTAGGTTTAATTAAATCTTTAATTACACCGCCTTTGGTGAATTTATGGACACACCTACAGACACGCATCACTGGCTCCGAACGTTGAATAACGCCCAGCGTCACGGGTAATACCCTTTTTGAAAATAATTTACGGGTCTAGCCAGCACGCGACGGTGGAAACAAATTTATTGTCGGTAGTTTTATCCACGAAGGGGTAATAACGTCGACCAACCATCGTCGGGGCAGCAACCCGCGAGCAAACGATGCACGAAATACGGCTAGCCTGCTTTACGGATCCGCTTGTACGATCGCTTCACGTTGGACCGTCGCATTAATGGAAAATGCAACAGGGGGTCTCGATGGGATAATTCATGGTGTGCCAAAATAGCTCGAAACCCGCGGGAGAAATTAATTTCTATGGATACCGAATCGAGGTCGATCCTTCGAGATACTAGCAGATCGCCGCGGTTTGCGGCCGTTTCGTCGTTCGAATTTAATTGGTCGAACGAGATTCGACCGGAGTTCGGTGCCGGTGAACGTGCGGCTGGACTCGGCTGACGCGTCTGTCCATGACAGGTTAATTCTACTGCCGCGGATGTTCTTCAATACTATCGTACAGTATTATACGTAAAAATAATGTCAAATTTATTGCATTTTTCACGAGCAAAAATTTCTACTTGGATTCTCGTTTCTTGGATTTCTCGTATCGGGTACTTTGTACTTCGCACGTATCGATTCATCTGCTCGGTGTACTCTGTGCAAGGTGTCAAATTTTTTCTATAGATGCAAATCAAATAGGTTAATCTAGGTTGAACGTTCGGGAAACTATTAGATCGGTTGCGGTTTTGCGGCTACCCCAGTTGCTCGAATTTCACTGGTCGATCGAGATCGACAGAGTTTCGATAAGCTTCCAGAAATTCGAGTCGCGTCGACGGCGAAAACAAACTTCTATGCAAACATTCGTCGCGATTGCCTGTAATTCTCGCGCGAAAATAAACGGGGCACATCATCGATCCTGAACGTCCAGAGGCAGCGTGCTTTTTTGGGAAGGACAGTCTTTTTCCAATTTACTCTGAACTTGTCATTTTTGAAAGATTCGAGATGGGTTCATTTTTAGATCCATATTACGAATAAAAGCTGCAAATTGAAGACATCTTTTTCTCACCCGCGTCGACACTCCAGACTCGACCGTCTCAAATGAAGTCTCGCGAACGTTCGAGGAACGTCACGTCGTCTTCGCATTTCTCGACAAATTAAACGACTTCTCCCTGTCTCGTAAACTTTTCCACGGCTACGACAGGAAAATAAAAACGTTATTTACCGCGGCAGTCGTTTCCAACAGTCTCGAAGACAGGCTTCCGGGGCCGGAACGAGAGGTAGGTCGCGATTTTGCCGAAGACATCGTACTGGTCGTGCAGAACTTTTCGCTGCTCGCAAAAGTTCGATGTGTGATCTATAGTCGACGAAGCAGAGGAAGAAGAGAAGCAACTGCGCGAACCCGGCGACATTTGTCATCGCTGGGACGATATTGGTTCCGCTGGAACTTGCACAACAGCGGACACCCAATGTCTGAAACTCCGATTCTCGTCTTGGTGAACGACTACTTAACACTGTCAACTCTCCACAATCGATATTCAATATTCTCGAAATCGCCTACGGCGAAGATTAGTTTCCTTCCTTTAGCTTAACCCTAAAATTTCGTTTCTTTTATTCAGATAGGAAGTGGCAAAAATATCCATAGTATCGGTCAAGGGTCAACTGTAGGACTCACGATCCAATCTCGTCTTTGATTTTCATTTTCTACGTAAAGATCAACGCCAACTTTGCGGTGATTCGTGCGAATTAATCGTGTTATTCGTTCCGGGTGAGGTTTTCTTCGTCTACGACGTGGTTTATACGCATCATGGAACCCTAGCATAATTCTGTTTTATTTACCACCGATCGATTCGCAGCCGTCAGACGCCCCCGCAAATAACTCGACTCGGTCTTCCGAAGTTTCGTTTGCCTTTACATCGCGCGTTCATCTCGCGTACGGCGAGCTTCCACCGGCGGAAACTTGGTTCTTAAACTTCTAGTTAATAAAGTAACCGCACAGCTCAGCGAAGTCGAGCATCCCGGTTCTGTCAGACGGCTTCTGTCTTGCAGCCGTTTGACGGCTGACCACAATTTCCGCCACGACTTACCGACGATTTACTCGCGTTCGTCTTCGCCATCCCCAGTTTCGCAATACTGCGCGATTGTGTTTTTTAATACGAAAATTACTCAAATAATCGACCTTCTAGCGAATATTCCCCCTAACACGGGCACGTTTAAACTTCGATGCAGTCCATAATTGAGCGTTATAGTTTTCCACGTTAAACTTTCAGTTCAGCCACGAGCTAACAAAATTCGCTTTGTCTCGAAAACGGGGATATCGACGAAGTCGCAGCCAACGACAGAATTCGCGCGTCAGTAATTCAAGCGGATGAGATCGTTTTATCCGGACTGTGGTAATTTCCCAGCGTACGTTCCTAGCTCGAATGGCTCGTGTTTGGGACGGCAATGAATTACCTATCCGCCCGCGAGCTAAATCGGTTTCTTGGTCACGCTGGCCGCCCAATATCCGTCCTCCTCGGGGTACGTTGGAAAGTATAAATCAACCTTTGCAACGACAATAAACGCTCGTGTCATCGACACGCTCCGACAGACGTTCCGATTTCAAGACGTATAAATATTCATAATATCGTTACGTGATTATTTAGGCATTTATCGTGATGAATGAATTTTTGATGAGAGTGAAATTAGTCTCGTTTCAGTCTGCTGTGTAGTGCTATTTCCGTGGATCTCTTTCATTTTTCGATCGTACCTTTGATTACAAAATTACGATTACAATTCATGCCTAAGAGGTTTCGAAACTTCGATCCTTCCAGTTTATTCATGCGAATTACAACGCGATCGAACGGTGCTCCGGCAGCAATGTTGGAGGCGTGGTAACTAATGTCAGCGTTTCAATTTAATCTCGCTACGGCCGTAAAATCGATTGTTACCATAAAACTCGATTTACTCAACGGAATTCAATTCAGGAACTCCGATTGTATCTCCGTTCCCGACCGATACCGTAGTTACGTGCTAGTTTCGTTTCGCCGCAGAGCTCGCGGGGAACTTCTCATCGCGAAACTCTGCCATCTCGTATTGTCTTTGACCGATCTTGGTGTACAAACGTTAGAACGCTTCAATTATTCGCCACCCCTCCACCGACCGACGTCGTTCTCGCCGTTTTGCACGAATCTCGGTACGATAACCGTGCGGCGAGAAGCAATCTGTAGAAACTCGCTCCAACCAGGTGCAGCTATCTCAGAGTAAAGCTCATTCTGTAAAAACACTACGCGTTTTCTAATTAGTATGTTATTTTAAGTAGACCATTTTCAGACAGGTCGGTTGTAGAGGAAAACATACGCGTCATTTATTATTTAAAGAAATGAATTCTTCTACGTTCAAAAATAATTTGAAAATCCACGAAGTTCCAGTGCACAGCAACTGAACAAACTTTCGTTTCGCAGTTTCCGTAATTTCATTTAACAAATACTTTCGTCAACTCGAAATGGGAGAGTCCCTCCGAGGGTAGGACGCGAGCTAACCTGCAGTTCCTCGACGATGCAACGAGCGAGGGTAATCAAAGTAACGTTCCGCTTTGCAACGATAACGTCAGACGCAGAGTTTTCGGGCGCGCAAAGTCGACTCCCGCTGAATATGCAGTTTCCGCCGAGTCAATTGCGTTTTTTCCCCTTCCCGTTCCTCTCGCGAAAAGTCTGCGGCGGAATTTTTGCGAAAGTTTTGCACGCGATGTAAAGGGGTGAAAGGCAGACGGGAATAATCCTTCGGTGGAACGAGGTTCGAGGTGAGTGGCTCGTAATACCACTGGATTACAAAGCGAGATTCACTGCGAAAGTCGAGGTAAACGAAATCTCGAGAACGCAGTTCCATCCTACCTAGAATTTCGCACGGGTACGACCACCGTTCGTGCGTTTTTTCCCCCTCGTTTCCGTTCTTCCACGTTTGCGAACGGCACCGTCGAATCCCGGCTCGGTCAACAATTCAGCCGTTTATTGCGAAAATGGTTCGAGTTCATTTTTCGTTCTTTTAAAGGGTGGTTTCTGCGGGCAATGTTTAAAAGAGACAAAATTTTCTGAAAGCTAGCCGGCGAACAAATAAATAAATTATGAAGTGCTCAGTTTCTGCGCCTCGGTTCCACTCTTTTCATTTTTAGAGCTGTACAATTATTAGCGTATGAAAAAAGCACCGTAATTATTTGAAAGTAACAATCGAATCGTTATTCACAATTGAACAGCCAATCTCGTATTACATATTATAACAAACGGACTTTTATTCCCTTCATAATGAGCGGTCCAATTTGAAACGGGAAGAGTATTTAATTTCACAAAATTTTGGTTTCCCGGAAATGACGTCCTATTGTAAAACCACGCCTGGCGCAACGTTAATTAGCAAGTTTCGTTCTCCAACGTTTCGAACGTCGCGGACTAGCCGTTAGAGCGATATCACATTGACCGGAATTTCCCGTGAATTTAATCCCTTCGAATTTAATCAGGTCTTTGCAGAGGGTGCCCGAAGATCCAGATTAGTCGTTTATACGCGACGCGCCGGTGGGCGGAGAACTGGAGCGATATTAATTGGTGAAAGATTTCGCGGGTATCCGGAATTTCGCGAAAACAGGAATTCACCTTCGACCGCTTTGCTCGTCTAGGTCGTTGCACTCGAATCTAAACGCGCGATCGATCTAAGTCCCCCGTCTATATATAGTTTCCCTAGATCAATGAGCGATGTTCGCGAACGAACGAACCAAAGCAACAGATGCAGCTGCGTTCCACCCAATAACTCTCAGATTCCAACTTCGAACACGACGCCGACGTACTGATTGGACCCACGAGCTAATTATCCTCGCCAGTTTCGCGTCCACTATCTCTCGAAGAAGCTTCACGCTTTTTTACCTGATCGGAACATTGGTTCTCCTTGGAATTTTCTTAGTCGACGTTTTCTTACAAGCGATCCTCTTCGAACAATTATTCCCATTTTCGTGTAGCTTCTTAATTGCATCGAAAGAAAATAAAATACAGTGGGTATTCCCGCAAGAGTAATAAATATCGACAGAACGAATGTTTGGATAGAACCAAGCAAAGAGGTGTAATGTTTGAGACGACTTTCATCAAAGCCGGAAGCGTAGAAAAGTTTCTACGGCGAGCGAGTAAACCGGACGACCATTAAATCTCCGGACACCGGCTCTCGAGTACAGCAAACAGCTTCCAGGTATTTAAAAATTGTTTAGAAAGTTCCGGGGAAAGTTGGCTTAGCGAGGGGTAGTTTAATAACAGGAACTTCCCTCGAGGAGGTTACCAGAAAGCGCATAGAAAACTTTAATGGCACCACGATCGTTCTTGGCGTGGAACTCCGCTCCATATCAGATCAAGATTCCGCGAGTTTTACTCCGATGGCTTTTAAAGATCGTACATTATCGAAGTGAGTCGGCCTGGAATCGAAATATATCACCCAATCATAGGAAAATAATATTTCTCGTACAGTTCCATTACTCTACCTATGAAATTCAATCGATATTGGTTTCAAATGAAGACAAATTTGTACAACTTTCGAAATAACTAAGGGAAGGCGACGTATCGAATTACCCGTGGCAGCAAACATTATTAACCTTTTATTACTTAAGTAAACTACTTACTAGTTAAGTAAGGTCTCACCGTGCTTCAATAAGTTCGCGGAGTGTAAAATGGCGGATGTTGTAGGCTCCGAGATAACGATTTTCACGGGAGCGCTGCTCCTTTCGCCAAAGTTTTCCAAGAGTTACGCGACCTCAAAACCGCGCAATCAAATATTAATCGGAATACATTTCCATAACTCTGCGTCCTTTGGATATTCAACGATGCTCGAAATTTGAGGAAACGATCCAAAGTAACGGAAAGTTTTAACGCTGCGCGCAATTTCCATGTGAGATACACAGAGCACCGTTTACGACGGTTTTGCGAATGCGATTTCGGTGTTTTGCGAAATTTCGCAAACAAACGGTACCGATAAATTTATGCCCGCGTGGGGGGTTGAGTAACCAGTGTTCCCAGCTAGTGACCACCGTCGCTCGAAACGTAACTTACCGCCAAACTAAAGTTTGGCGGTTGAGCTTTTACTTGCTTTCCAGGGACACCCATTTTCCATTTTGCTCACGTGCTTGCAATTAGCGTCCCAAAATTTAAAGTGCTATTTAAACGTAACCAACTTGAACGAATTATTTACGAGTAGCAAAATGTGACTTAGCATCCCTTGAATTTTCTCATCCATGAATTTTCTTTTTATCTTTTAAAAAAGACTGCAAATAAGATAGTGGGGAAGGTAGGAATAATAAAAGTCCATCCTGTTTCTTTTTAATCTGGGTAGTTGCACAATAGTCGTAAATTCGAAAATGGGACGAAAACGGTCCAACGAGCTCTCAATCACAGTAAATTATGCGCTTAGATTCGCGTCGCGAGACGCTAGGGGGCATAGCTTTCTCGAACTTGCCCGACCGACTTTCGAGTGGGCATCCATTCGAATGCAAGCCTGAAAATCGCGAGTTTACGCCGACTGCCCCTGGTCTCGACGAGTATCCTCGAATCCTTTGGATTCCAAAGTTACGTTCTCTTAAAGGTTAAGCGAGAGACGGTCCTCGAAATCCAAGCAGAAAACTTTTAGACCCTCGCCAGAGCTCGCGTGATCTCTTTTCCTTGCTATTCGAAAATACTGGCCTCGGGGACCTCGCAAAGAGATTGGTAATTGTAGAGAGAGATATAAAATTTGGTATCATGTCGATGCTGCAACGACGAATTTCCTGTGTTGTAGGAATAAAGGAATGTCACCTGTATGGGAATATATCGATGCCACTTAGACTTCATAATTATTCACACCACTGTAGAAAGTCATTAGGTCTATGTTGGAATTATATAGTTCGTTTCTACCGTGAAGTCGCGTACTACGTCAGGGAAACGATTAGCGTACCTAGCGCTCGTTAAGTCGGTCCTGGGGGGGTTGGATGATTCGCAAACGAGTGACTCGAAATTATGTCGGGCATCGCTAATGAAACCATCGTCGCGTGCGTCTATCTCTCTGAGCCATTGTCTCTTTTTCACCTCGTCTACTGCTGTAGCAAAATTTTTATCGTACATTTTATCGTCATATCTTGGACAAAGAGATACGTATTTTAATTCTGCAAGAGAAATACTTCATATTTTTGACCAAATTAATACACTGTATAAGAGAAGATATTTATTTATCGCGACCGACACAGGGTTAGAAAAAGGTCGCGGGGCGCGTTAAAGCGAGACGAGATTTACGCGACGACACGAACGTATTGTTTCGCATCGGTGATATTCAATATCGCGGAACACGACGTGGTCGCGCAAACACGTGGAAACTCAGTGTATCTCGCGACAATACCATTGTAATAACCACTGATTTATATTCCCTCCAGGGGGGCAAACGGTCGCCAAATCTGAATCGCCGTTCTGCACCGGCCATTTCCGTGACTACGCGCTTTGTTCTATGGTTCCGGAATTCGGTCATTCCCCGGCACGGTTGTATGGGCTTTATACCAGATTCCCTTTTTCTCCGCTATACAGCATTTTGTTCGTTGCATCCACGATGCAAATTTTTCTCTTAGGAAGTACGTCGTTCTTGTATAAATCAATATCACGCCCCAACGATGGCGATGTTCGTTTAGTCTTAAAAAATTCTAATTTTATTAAATTCCAACCATTATGACCAGAGAAATTCGCCGTGCGATGCGAAAATTCCAGGAACGTGGTACGAGGAAGCTTATACCTTCCATATAAATTAACATTTTTTAATGAAAATGGACAGAAATGTAGTTCAAAGTATGCGCTTTTAATATATGCAGCTCGCAATTTGTATCAGGCATTCGGTGTAGTCAGAAAAAATTTTCAAATACTACCATCCTCGTCGGTGACATTCATTTTTAATTACATCAGACCTTTTTAGCATCCCGAACACATCGATACTCGAGCGTTCTTGACTCTATCGATAACCATCGAATCACTGCGGGCCAGAGTTTCATTTCCCAATTTTCGACGCCCCTAAGGCCAGCCAATTTCGAAAATATTGGTTATTAATCGAGCCAGCCCGACACAATCTATGCGAGAATTGTTCTCGCATAATAGAATTCATCCATAAAGCATGGCATTGCACAAAGGCTAACCTACATATATTTCCAGCTGACGACATAAAGCAACCAGGGACCGAATGATCAATTTTACCTTAATGAAATTCTAACGTCACCGTCCGAATGCTTGGAGCACGATGAATAGTCGAGTGTGCTCATATCACTGAAAAATATTAATCGTTTCTCTCCCTCTTAATTCCCGCTTTTGGTCTCACTTTTAACGAGCCATTCTCTTTAATCTCGTCGACGGATTCCCGCTGCTCCTCCGCGCGCGAAAGAGCTGGAGCGTTCATCGGACGACGGGTTAAAATATTCATGCCACGATCGTAAGTTAATTCGTTCCCCTGGCGTCTGACGCGGACGTTTATACGCCCCTGACGAGGTATTAACGGGGAAATATTCAAACGACGTTAATACAGTCCACGCGTTTATTCGCGCAGCGGCACGTCGGACCTATTAAGCAGCGATGCGCATGAAACGAGATAAATCTCGATCTCGTCCCGATCTCGTTTCGATTTCGAGATACCATTTTGGTCATCATTGTAAATTAGAAGTAGGGAGATCGACGTTTTGGTCAACCTTCTGTTGATTTCTGACCACTGTTACGAGGGCAGGAGGGGGATCCGCTAGTTTAAATATCGAAACACGTGTTGCTGCGCGCGGGTGTCACCATCGAAACGAACAAATACCGCGTCAGCTGGCGCAATTACCGTCGAGGAATTAATTCGCGCGTCGAACGCATTACTCCTCGCGCGTTTACCTTCGCGAAGGGCGATTCAGAGCGTCCGCGATTTAATCGGAATTACGTTCCAATCCGTTCGAATAGGTTACATAAAACCCATCCGTGTCGTGCTCGAAAATATTCGTTATTAATTCCATCGAGACCGACTGCCACGCATTTCACCTTTCTCGAATTTCACGTTCACCTTTCGTCGCTGGAATCCCGCGATGATTATTATTATTATTCAAACGAAATACTTTATTTATTTCTTCCTATCCATTTGGGATGTTTCCAGGACATAGTGCGCATTTGCATACAGGACACTTTGTAGCAACTGTACATAGTGAAGCGTGGAACGGTGAAAGTGGCAACATACGAAGAAATTCATGGAAAATGAGGTCTCGTATTTTCGAGACAATATCTTTGGAAAATACGTGAGATACATAACATTACGCTTCTGATTCGAGTTCGTGGCACTTATTACGAGGCACACCCTGTATACCCAGCGGTGATATTACGCGATGCAATCAGGAGGTCCGTACCCCGATCGTGGCATGCAATTTTGTACGTGCTCGCTCGTCGATCCTGGGGGGGAAAGCTCTTTCATGGAACTATCGATCGATCAATCGCGTGCTAGGCGAATCGAGCTGATTCTCAGAGCTTCGTTCCAGAGGACAGAAGGGATTCGTTCTACGAAAACGATTTTCAATTCGACTAAGCTCGAGCTATCGGCACCTTCGATCCAGCTTCGAAATATATGATAAATACCGGAGCAGTGTTAATTTCCAGAAACAATAGAATATTCCTGATAAATAAAAAGTGAATTTCATCTAGATATAACTTACTGTTTTCCAACTTGTATCATGTTAATTCAATGTATTATCTCGTTCCCAAAATTCTGACCAGGGACCAAGAAACTAACATTTTAGAACAAGAAGGACTCTTTTTCTTACCTGGTGGCTTCCTGCAGCAACAGGTGAGGCGGTACCCAAAATTTAACCCTCAACGCGAACCTCAGCGGCGCTACACCGCCTCCGGTTTGCCTCTCTATGGGATTTCTCAGGTTCAACCAAAGCTCCTCGCCCTTTGCATTCTGATACTTCAGCCCGAAGTAGTCGCACTCCTTGCTGACTCCGAGACAATCGCACACCTGCAAAAAGAACAGATATCTCAATTATAAGGGGTGTAGCTTACATTTCAGGATAAATTTCTATTTTAATAAATCATTTCTCGTTGCAATTATTTTTTCTCCTACTTCGCCACATTACACTCTGAACGAACTGTCGCGTTAACAGTACAGAAACTCGTTCCCTCTGATTTCTCGAATAGTCAACTATTTGAGCAGATCGAGTATACGTTCGGATAGAATTCGAGTAATATTCTCTGAATATTTTTCCCAGAACAGATCGAGAATAGTCAGGAACAGAGAAATATTCCGGTCCCAAGCTCTCCAACAAGCACGCGCGAGAGTTACGTGTACTTTTTGCCGGAGCCAATGTCTCTGGCGGAATTAACCGTTTATCTGGAATATTTGGACCGATTAATACGCGCGGAAACCGCGGTCTGATTCGTGGGAGTGCAGCTACGCGGTCGAGCAAAGCGCGTAATAAATTGCTGGCAATAATTTAGAAAGTTAGCCCGCTATCCCTACTAGGCTCCATAGTTTCTAACCAACCACGCGCACGACGAACCCCACACGTGTGCAGCCAACGTGCAGCTACGTGTCCTTCGTCCTCGTTGGTGCATTTACCGTCTCTTAACTAATGTGTTCGCATTCGAAAAAAACATCGCCACGCGATTAACCTTCCAAAGGTCTGAAACAGCGATAACACGTGTTTCGCGTAAATAACAGATACCACGTCAGTTTCAATCCAAACAATTTAGTTCAATTTTTTTTTAACCAAACCTACGAGTTTGGGGACGAGTGTGCCCGGTCGACCAAGGTGTTATCCTATGGAATTATAGAAACATATAGCTGCACGTGGAATTTTTTAGAGCGCCGTTGGATCTGGATCCAAGGCATGGAAACCGGTCTCAGAGGGTGCGGTGGGTACGATGGCAGCGAACAAAGCGAAAGAGGCAGGTATTTTTAGGTGAATAGCTCAGCTAGAAAACAGAACGAACTCGTTGACGAAGCGTTGGAGACGGCAGGGCTCAGCCTTGGTCCCATTGACATTAACGTACGTTCTCGAGCTTTCGACGCAGCTAGCGCTGCAGTACTTTCCTCCCTCTTTTTCCCATCGTCGTGCACAGGGTGTCTCAAGAATCGCAGCACGACGGTACGAAAAATTGTAGTCGGACTGGTCGTCAACTGGGAAATATTCCAGCGAAATCGAAGATCCACCGCTGAATAATCTATACGACTAAAACTGTACGATAAGCGTCTTGAATTACTCCTTTTCGTTAACAGGCTGCAACATATATACCTGGATTTCATTCTACATTTTCAATTTGGCTTTGCATGGAGGATGATTCCCTTTCTCGATTACTGGAACAACCTGTGCAAGGTATACGCAAGCTCCGAGTGCTATACCGCGAGATACGAGCCGAGCTTTTCTCCGTAGATGCAGTTTGTCGCGCGAATCCAATGCTCCGCTCTCTATGCTTTGCCAGAGATGCATGCACACGCGTGCACCCCAGCTTTCCATGAATATTCAACCGACGGCGGCGGACGGTTTTGAAAAATCGCCGACACAATGTCTTCTGCGGGTCCAAGTTCTTTTCACGGCATGGAAACTGTGAAAAGTAGAGGTGGAAAGAGATGAATGCACGAGAGAAGAACCACCGAGTTTACCGTCGCGCTGTCAGCCATCGCGCAACGCTGCGTTTATGCATTCACCTGGTTAAGGGGTTATATGCGGTTGGAAGGATTATGTAAAAGGGGTATGTACATTATGAGAGGAGGCTCAAGTGTGGATTTTTCGTGATTAAATTACTCATTTCTTTAAAACTCCATTTGTACCAGAAAACGTTGAGTTCCCGAGCCATAAGTGTCTATTGGGTGGTCTTTGAAGAAGTATCTCGAGCACTTAGTGTAAGAGAATTACAGGAAATTAATAGTTCGGTCACAAAAAAATTTATAAATTCAAGTATTTTTGGATGGTCGTATTTAAATACAAAATGATTTTTATTATTGTTCAACTAAATTATTTGAATCTTTTATGTCGAACGAACAAAATCATTCCTGAGTCGCAAAATTAATAGAAACAAGTCTACAAGAGAGAACGCCAGGTTATAAAGAAGAATCAATTCTTGAAGGAGATACGGATCGTACTGGTCGGACGTATCGGTCAGGCCTCGCGAGGCGTCTGACCAAAGTAGACTCGATACATTCTACTTACTCGCTCCACCGCGTCTTTTAGACTGATCCTTATTTCTGCACGAGTCCGTAATTGAATTGGTGATACTAGTTACTTTATTCTCGCTGAGTTATATAATTTTAACCATTCGCAAAGCAAATAAAACAAAATAAATTTTGATTGCCCGTAAAGCAAATAGACTACAATAAATGAAATCTCTCCAGTATTTCTACACAATTTCCACCTAGACAACCGGTTGTTCTAGCAAACATTTCAGATGGAGTTTACCTCGCCTCGTGGGAAACATTTTGTGTTCTACACTGCGGGTTGGTTTCTCTCTTTCATACGCAGCGAAAGAACTCGCTCAGATATTAAAATCATTTCATATTCCATTAACTCCTTCTATCTCCTTTCATATGAAGCTCAAGCTCTTCCTTTACGTCATCCGGCCTAAAAATTAAATGAACGTCGATGGTTTCCAGAAATTCGGCAACATTCAATCTGGTCTCCGTAAATAAATAAAATTAACCGCTGGCGCCGTTTCTGTTGCAGTGTCGTCGCCGTCGCGTTAGGACGGAACTCGTTATCCCCGTAATTATGAAATTACGTTTGTTTCTTCGCGAGGAAGCAGCTTCAAAGTTTGCATTTTAAAATTTACAACCTCGTAAAATTCTATCGGATTATTGTGTGCGCGTCGGAACGCTTTGGATTCCGACGTTCCCTTTCTACCGAGACGCCAAGTTTGCCTATTATTGCCAGAGACTCGTTAACGACGTGAAGCGGTGGGATTTAGCAATTCCGGCGCGAAAACAATATGAATTTCAAGCGATTCTACTTTAGCTCCCGAAAGCCGAACTTTTGGCTGGCAACGGAGTCGAAGAAATTTAATGTTTCCGTACACTCGTGGAAGCAAACGAACAATTTTAATGTGGATCTTATCGTGGATCTCCCAGGGGAAGACAGAAACGATAGAAATGTGTTACAGGGCTCGTCTTAATTATATAAAGCATGAATGGAGTTTCCCATCGAAGAGTAGAATGGTATAATGCAATATAAATATTAGGCAGTGTAATAATTGAGAATGCTTTTCTTCATTTCCCCTGTGCACCAAAATGGCGGGAAGGGATGAAACGCAATCTATGCACGGCCGTGCCAAAATATACAATATACGTATATTTTACACGCGCACGACGCGCAGTAGAACGAAAACCCCGTTGGCTCGAAACGAAGCAATTTGCATTCGCGCCGGCAAAATTAATATCGCTGGCAGCTCGAATTAAATAAACCCGTTAATCCGACGCGGCGCCAACAACAAACGAGCCTTGTATTGTTTTGTCGGCAAATTTCCTGGCTTCCCATTTCGACAGATTACAAAGCACACGGCACAAACCCAAAAACGAGGCGATTTTTATCCCGACACGTGCGGACGAAACGTGACGCGGTGGTGAAAGATACCTAAAAAGCTAACCGAATAGCTATCGTTCCGAAAATATCAGTTTTTCTATTTCTTTGGAGCTTTCAGAGATTTTCAATGATCGCATCGTTGCAATAATTGATCGCTACCCGCTTCGGTTGTCACTCGAATTTCATTCAATCGGTTTCATTTAAATAAAACTCGGCGTTAAAGTCGTAACGAGATTTCGCCTAGCAGTTTACGAAACTAGATTTCGTAGTTCCTTCGGTCTGACCGTCGCCAACACCACCGGAAGTTACACCGCCGGGGATTCTCCGTTTCGCGCGTCGCGAGACGTGACCGAAATACTCGATATACCGTGGAGGAGAGAATGCAAGCGCGATTTTCTTATTTGCCTTCGTCTCTCGTGAAATTTCAATCGAGAGTCTTCCTGCCTCTGTTCACGGAACTCTACCACCCGCCAGCCAGCGATGATAATATTTCCTCGAAATCCGTGACGATGGAGGAATATCGCAAATATAATCGTCACCCCCCTCTTCGAAAAATCTGGTTGAATCAACGCGTAGCAGAGATATTTTCATCTTTCAATTTAAAGAATGTTATCTTCGAGCACGGCAGTAACATACGACGGAGCTACTGTTTTTAAAGAAGATCCTGGTTGCTCGGAATGGCATAATCAGTGCTGTAGAATTATATAATATCACTGTAACTCCATTCTCTATATTCCCATCGAATTTAGAATGTTCCGAGGTTCGTTCGTCGAAGCAGGAAAATACCCAGGCCTTGTAAAAAAGAAGCTGCAGCGGAAAGTTAATGGACGGCCAATTCTTTTTGTTCGACTTGTTGCGAGACGCGTAATCCAGAAACGGATTTCGAGCGACGAGAGACCGACGCAGCCGTGTATCACCCGGCGTCGTTTGCTCGAGAAGCATTGTAACAGCGCAGAGAAAAATAAGAAACAATGGGAGTTATTAGAGAGGCAGCCTTGCACCTGCCTTGCAGAGGTATTTCTAGAACACCGACGAGAATCCCAAGCCGTTCCCCGCTGGAACTGGATATCTGCGAATTCAGTTTGCGGCCCTAGGTGGTCGCGAAAAACGACAACGAGGCGAAAAGTTTGTTCCTCGAAAGCGAAACGCCATTTTGTTTTGTTAGGCAAACGTACCAGCAGTTGACCATGTGCCAGTAGTTGATACTTACAGAAAAAAGAGAGAAAGAGGATGCCAATGGTCGTGTTCGTGGTAGAGAGGTTTCATTGGACCGCTATGGCATCTATGTCACCGCTTCGAAATAAGTATCGTACGTAGAGTACGAGGAATTTTTGTAGAAAAACAAGCAGGTATCACTTGATATTTCCGCTGTAAATATTTTTTATGAACCACTTTGGTAGCTTTGTTCCAGATGAAGATAGTGGTCTCTAAGTAATATTATCGACGA